GTTTTCTCTTCGTCGTTTTCTCTTGTCGAACGAATGGTTTCACGACTTGCGTCTTGAGGGCCGGTGAGATCAGCTTCATTGGCCCAGAATGGATGGAAGGCTTCAACTGCAGGTGTGGATCGAGACGAGATGACGGGTTTTGGAGGATCTCATGAATACAACATGCTAGTTAGACGTGTAGGCAAGTTGGTCACTTGAAATCACTTGACGAATTCTTTTTGGCACTTCTTCTTGGCATTGCTTCTTGAAAGACTAAGAAGAGCTGCTTAGCAGTTGCACTGAGTACTGCTCGTAGCTGGGCTCACAGTCACGCCCATTCGCTTAGCGAAGCAAATTCGCCCGGCTTCCCGGACGAAGAGAGCACCTCTCTTTGGCCAACTCCAAGCCCAAGGTTTTTTCCAAAGAGTTCTGTCTCTTTTGTTGCAAGCGGGTGGATTTTTACAGAAAAAAAAACAAGCTTTGGCTTGCTTGCTTCTCGTTCCTTTCCTTGCTACTAGTTTCCCCTAAAATCCAGGAACCAAATCCATCATGTGAGGGCTTCTTCAAGGAAGCTCCAGCCTTCAGGCGGGGGAAGCTTCCTTAAAGAAGCCTCAGCAACTAGCTTCTCACTCATGGCCTACCCCCTCACAAAAACAACAATGTGTTTATATATATATATATGTAATTACATTTACTATTACCATTATGTATTTATTATGTTCCTAGTTCTATCTCTCTCTCGCTCTCCCGAAAGTCGTGTTCACTGAGGCGCTCACCATGCGCGTTGGCTCCATGACTTCCGTTTGCATCGTAGCTCTCCTTGGCTCCCAGCCGATCGCTTCCACGGCTTCTTCCGTGGAGGCGATGGTGCTGATGCAGTCGAGGCGACGGACCGAGAAGTGATGCAGTCGAGTTCCCGAAAAAAGGAACGAAGAGGAAGAAAAAACATCTGAAGGTGTAAATTCAACAAGTGTTGAATTCAACAAGCGTTCTTGAAGCATCTATATAAGAGGAATAGTTTCTTGTTAGAGATTCGAGACGTCTGTAAGTAGCAGCATTCTTGCAACAAACGAGTCCAAAGACAACATCCAAAGATCATGAACCTGTGATGCATGTTCTCTTTGCATTTTGGTAGCAGTCCATTCCTGTTTTTTTCTGCTACCCTTTGGCCTAGCTGACTTGATGTAGGATCGTTATTTGCGATTCAAGACCTCTAATTTGGACAACCAGGATGTGGCAAAACACGGCATTGTTTCAGTGTTTCTGTTTGGACATCTGAAGGGTTTTATTTGTTTTTTGCCACATGGAAAACTCACAGGCTTCGAGGTTCCAAGACCTCAGACTTCATAGAGGACCGAGAAACGAAGGAGACCTTCTCCAAACGAGGAAGGCGAAGAAGGAAAGGTCTTGACGGGGCTAGGAAAAGCAAAGGAACAGGTCAGAAAACATACAGTAAGTTAGTATGTACATCATAAACATCTTAGTGCAACTATCTTTCTTTAGTCATTCTGAGAACGTAATACCAAGTTCTCACTTCTGGTAGCGACATCCAGGACTTATATAACCCGTATCAAGAAGGTTAAACACGCATGAAAGATGAAAGGTATGGAAACCGAATTCAAGAACGTGTGAAATTGCTTCATTCTTCATTGATGACCAATCTTTGTTAGTCAAACTGTTAAGACTTGAGTAGCAACACAACCCATGTATCAAGGACGCAGCTCCAAAGACGCTTGGCTTAAAACGACCGATATATCTTTTTTGTTAGCAAGAGATGGAATAGGCGCCAGTTCTTCACATTCGGTGGTATTTTCGATTGTTTCACTTGTTTCACTTAGGTTTGCTCTGGCGTTTGTTTTTGGTCGTTGTGACCAAGGTCAAAGGACTTTGGCCGCTGGCATCTAAGTACGAAGAAAGTAGAAGCGGCAACAGAGAGAAGCGGAAGGAACGGTCTTGAGAGAGAGAGAGAGAGATCTCTTTGGCGGTAGGTAGACAGAATGTTGCTTTCCTTTCTATTAGGAACAATGTTTGCTACTAGTAACAAGTGCATCGCTTCTAGTAACAAGTGCCTTACTAGTAGTAACAAGAAGCTAGTAGTAACAGGTGCATCGCTACTAGGAGCAAGTGCCTTACTAGTAGTAACAATATTTGCTATTAGGAACAAGAACGCCTTTCTGAGATTCCAAGGTTACAGCGATGATGATGAATCTTGCACGACAGAAGGCCTCAACGATGAATTGACCATCAAGCTTTGAAGACGGACAACGCTTTGGAATTGTTCCTGATCAATTGTTTCAAACCTTTTTGACACCCTTGCGGTATTTGTGACGACTTATTGTTTAGTGCCTAATCCATCAGGGTTGGTCGGCACAGAGCCCTGCCCTAAGCCCAAGGCTTCGCTAGCCTGAATGAATTTCTAGCCTAGGCATACAGACCCCCCAGCCTACTCTATATCAGCAACAGCAACACAGTATCCACATATACTCAAAAGACATGTGCGATTTGTCACTGCGAGCTTCACAGTGAGCAAGGCCAGCTAAATGCTGTTAAATGTACCAGCTCTAAGCTTCAAGGTTTTGAGTAGCTTGTAAATCTCAGTGCTATAACTGCTGGTGAGTGTTCGCAGCAAAGCAGTTTCCACTGTCACCGGGACCTATTTTTTGTAGTGCCCAGAGTGCAAGAGAGCAGTTGGACTTGTATGTGTTGCTTGCACGTTGTTAGGCTTGAGCCCGGGGGTTTGTGCATTGTCTTCTCTTGCGCGACCTTTGGCTAGCAAGAGGCCCGATCACGCGCCCATTTCCAAGTCTTGAGTTCATTTTTGGTGGCCAGTTGTCCTCATGATCCTTGATCACGGAGCAATGGTTTACATCGGTCAAGTTGGTTTTCATGTTGGATATTGATCTTCCTCTTTTCACTGGTCACCGGTCAGCAAAACACCCACAACCCCACGGCTGTGAGGCTGCGAAAGCCTGTTGCTGACTGTGACGAGAACGAGAGCCGCGAGGGGCTGGCGCGGGCCATGCCCACCGGCTGCAGACCCTCATGTAAATTAGCGTTCGCCTTGGACTGGTAAGTTCTCATGGCCTTGGGTTCCCATTCTGGAATTATGACATCATGAGGGGAAGGGAAGTTCAAAAAGGCCGAACCTGGGGAGAAACGCTTTGGGTTCTTGGAAGTCGCGATAATGGGAAGAGCGCATGACCTACAGCCTTCACAAGTTCAATCAGTGTAACGAGGTGCCGTTCCGAACGGTGACGGCTGGGACCTGGGTAGGTTAGAACGGGCCTTGGTGGCGAAGATTGAGGCGCGCCGCCCTTCACATTGAGAGAAAGGGTTTGCCGACACATTTTGCTGAAAAGACACTCCGCCACTTCGCCTTCAGCCAAGAACTGTTACTAGTAATTGGCAATCCTTTTAGTTACTAGTAGCTTCCTGCTACTACTAGTAATGAAGTAATGCCCTTAGTTACTAGTAGCGTCCTTGCTAGTAATATCTGTACCCAAAGCTGAAAGGACATGTAGACTTTCGCTTTTAGACTCCACAGCAGGCGGGCTTGGTGGGAAATCACAGCGGCTTTGACACGACGAGGTGCGAGCCTCGAAGGCAAATCGGCGGAAAAACCGAACAGGTCAACAGCCAAATGTCCTGATTACTAGTAACAAGTGCATCGCTACTAGTAACAAGTGCCTTACTAGTAGTAACAAAAAGCTATTAGAATTAACTTAAAGTAAAAAGAAATGAACTAATAGCTTCTTGTTACTAGTAGCGATGCACTTGTTACTAGTAGCGTCTTGTTACTACTAGTAAGGCACTTGTTACTAGTAGCGAGGCACTTGTTACTAGTAGCTTCTTGTTACTAGTAGCTTCTAGCTACTTGTAGTAAGGCCAGGTAGTAGTGTCCTCGCTCCTAGTAGCGATGCCAGGAGCCCGTAGTAGCGTCCTTGTTACTAGTAGCAGACCCAGCCCCAAAAAGCCGTTTTGGAAGAAGCGTTTCTTTGCCCAAGCGTTGGACATCACAGCAGCGACAGCACAGCATACGTCGAAAGGGTGTCGTGACTCCTGTCTTGACTCACGGCGGTCGCCCAGGCTGCAAAGCCTGGAGAAGGACGACCGCCACGGGCACACGACATGGATGAGTTGCGTCTAGCGTAGTCAGCGTTTTGGAAGGAGTAGGTCCAGTAGTTCCAGATCTAAGGCCCTGTAGAATAGAACATGTAGTCTGGCTGCCAGGAGTTGCGGCCACTCTATTCCACACTCCCCCATGAAGTTCCACTGCCAGACATCGAGGCTAGCTTTCTGTTGCAGAGCGATTCCACCACAAACCATGCGACGCTCATTCTTGACATGTTTTGACATTGTTTACCTCAGGTGGCTGTTGACTACTGTTCAATCCATCACCTCAAGTGAAAATACTAAATGCCATCAGAAGCCCTTGACTGCCTCTGAAAAGAATGCCCTTGACATCAGGGCGGCCTCGGCTTGGTGTCCGCACGATATTTACTGCACCAGTACTTCCTGCGGCGGCATTCTTGGAAACTTGGCTAGCATCACATTGCCACACCATGACACACCATGACACTTTGTTTTGTTTGTGCCTTCTTTGATGATTTTGACGTGTTTGTTGAACAAGAAGCAACATGCTCTTTTGAGTTAGGCAGGTGCGTGGTCTTAATCCGGCAGGCAGGGTCCAAGCGCAAAGCACGCAGCATCCAGTTTCTTCAGCGCTCCCGGAGCTCCGAGGTGACGGTCGGCAGCCCCCAGATCATAAGGCCGGTCAGTCCCAGACCTCAAGTGACCGATGGTTTCAAAGCTGGTGTCTTAGTCCTGACAAATCTGAAGTTGACTGCAGGAGGCCTTACGCAGTCGTGTGGCTGGGCACCTGCTGGAGCTGCTGGAGCGCAAGGTGGAAAAGTCAAACCGGTCTTGACAAAAGTCCTCCAGACAAGTTCTAACCTAATAGCAATGGCCTCCAACCTAGTAGCCAATGCTCTAGACAAGTCCCAACCAAAGTCCTGCGTTGAAACAAGAGAGCTTGGAATCTGCAGAGACAAGAATCGCTACTAGGAGCAAAGGGCTACTAGGAACAAGCAGCTACTAGGGGCTCCTGGCATCGCTACTAGGAGCAAGGACGCTACTAGGGGCTCCTGGCCTTACTACTAGGAGCAATGTTCGCTACTAGGAGCTTTGACGGACGCTCAAACTCTCAAAAGCGCCAGGGCCGCCCTTTGGGGCCTTAGGGCTTTCACTTCTAAAGCGTTCGAGCGTGGCTCAGCTTGTGAGGTTGGTGCTCAGGGGCTGAATTTGAAGACACTGGCGACTTGGCTCAGAAAACCCGAAGATTTCGTGAGCTCGGGTCCCCATTGCTCCTAGTAGCGAACCTGGTTACTAGTAGTAAGGCCAGGAGCCCCTAGTAGCGTCCTTGCTCCTAGTAGCGAACCTGGTTACTAGTAGCTTCTTGCTAGTAGTAGTAAGGTGCCTTGTTACTAGGGCTCTTGACGGCTCTTGGACAATAGCCCCCGGTCCGCACGCCCGCACGCCCACTTCCGCTGCATGCGTGCACGGAACGAGTTAGAGGTGCCACCTGCGTAGTTCCTGGTGAACCTTGTGTGAGCTCCTGAGGCTGTGTTTGTGGCAACCCTGGAGCACCTGCTTCATGGGGATGAGCGTCTCTTGGCAGAGTTCAAGCAGAAATCCCACTGCGCAATCAGGAAATTCACCGAGACATGCGCTATAGGAGCAAGAAGCTACTAGGGGCTCCTGGCATCGCTACTAGGAGCAAAGACGCTATTAGGGGCTCCTGGCCTTACTACTAGGAGCAAGAAGCTACTAGGAACAAGAAGCTAACAGTTTTGAGTTCTCAACAGCGCTGACAGTTCGCTCGATTGACACATCAGACCGATGTCAGCACCACTTTCTTTTGATCGTGTGCAGAGCCTGGATTTTTTGGCCACCGATTTCTTGGAAAGGCCAACGTTTGAAGCAAAGCTGGACTGTGCACGATCTCAACCCAGAGGCTTCAAGAGAGACGTCGTAAACGTGGTAAACCAAACTTATTCTTCTGTTATTTTCTTTCTCTCCTTTAAAGCCCGCCCTTGCTTAACTAAGTAGGCGCCTACTTAATTAAGGGACAAACTTGTTCGCCCTTAGCCAGGACGCAGGATAGCTCACGCTTCTGCAGGGAAGCTCCCCGCCTGAGGGCGCGGGGAGCTTCCTTGAAGAAGCGCTCGCACTAATGATTTGGTTCCTAGATTCAAAGAAAGAACTTATGTTCTTTCTACCATGGGTAGACCATATGTGCAGTTGAGTTTTGTGCCCCTTTGTCGTAATTTTGCTTTGAAACCTGCTCATCAAGCTGGCCAGCTATCAGGATCTCACAGATGCAGAAGGCTTGCAAAGCGTTTTGGACGCTCAAGCAGAATTCAGTTCAGTGTTTTGAAGTTTGATTTGTCGGATAGATTTCCACTGACTTTGTTTTCTTGAAGGTTCCGCATTGTATAAGTGTAAAGTCAATCAATTGTTTCATTTAGTTCCTTGTGTCCTTGTTTCTGCCGAGTGGCTGCAATTCTGAGGAAGTGTTCATGGCACATTTTGTGTACTCCAGCCGGACGCTGTGCCAGCAAGTTGAAAGTGCTGTAATGCAGATTGAAGCAGAAAGATAGATGCCGCAGTGGTGGCCGCAATCGCAGTGGTCGCAGTCTCGCTGTCTGTGTGCGATTTGAGGAAAGCTCAAAGCGGCTATGCTCTGACGTTGCAAAAGGGCCGCGAAGAAGTAGCCTTTGTGGGACGTGTTTATGAGGCTCGGCACAAAAAGGATAGTGAGCATAGCCGGTGACTGGTAGCAGCCGCTAGCACTCAGAGGTATTTCAAAGACACACTCATTTCACCGTCAAACGGTATGCAACGTGTTTGCCAAGGATGGCTGGTCAAAAATCCGAAATGATATTCGCAACGGGATCAAAACACTTCGAGCCACAAGAGGCCTGGGGTGTATTGCCACATGTTGACACTATTTATATATTCGTTGTATTTGCTGCTTCGATTGTAAGCACAAAGACTAAGAGAGAGCCAGGTACAGACCTCAGTTTTGAGGATGCGGTGCAAGTAGCTGACCAGGCGCCCGCTCTGAATTCGGTGTCCACTGCACAGCGAATCTTTCAATTCCTTTCTTGTTCCTAGTAGCGATGCCCTTTGCTCCTAGTAGCGATGCCAGGAGCCCCTAGTAGCTTCCAAGAAACTGCAGACATGACAGAAATGCAGGAAACATAAAAGTGCGCTGTTTTTCAACTTTGCAGACTGGCAGGTGTTGGAATATTTCCGTGATGTCTCTGGCTCCATGTGTCAAACTGCCGGGTTTTAGGAGAGGCCGTGTGATGGTAAGAACACACATTATGTTTTTTTTGCAACGTGCGTTTGCGTTTGCCAGGTCGTGACATGGCCGAAAGCTTGGTTCGAATGCCCGGTGGAAAGCAGGGCAAGGTGCCATTGTCTGAAATGCGGAAGAAGGACCTTTTCCGTAACTTGGACGGAAGAAACTACTAGGAGCAAAGGGCATCGCTACTAGGAGCTACTAGGGGCTCCTGGCATTACTACTAGGAGCAAGGGCATCGCTACTAGTAACAAGTGCATCGCTTCTAGTAACAAGTGCCTTACTAGTAGTAACAAGAAGCTAGTAGAAACCAGTGCCTTACTACTAGGAGCAAGAAGCTACTAGGGGCTCCTGGCCTTACTAGTAGTAACAAGAAGCTACTAGGAGCAAAGGGCATCGCTACTAGGAGCTTTGACGGCGCTTTTTGCGTTCTGAGTCGAAGCTTCTCCTCCTTCCCTTGGAAGCTTCTCCGAAGTGGGAGAAGCTTCGTTCTCAAGCCCCGCCCAACAAACGAAAAGGGTTTGAGAATCAAGGAATAAGAACTGACTACTAGTCCTAGTAGCTTCTTGTCACTACTAGTAAGGCACTTGTTACTAGAAGCGATGCACTTGTGCCAAAGAAGAAAAGGAAAGGCAGCGAAGGAAGAGTCAGTGAGGTGAGACGATGGACTATCTCCGTGCTGCCAATGCCCTGGACGAGTCCACTCGTGATCCTGTCGTGCTGGTTCCAAACTACATGTGCCTGTCCCGCACATTGAGATGATTGTGAAAGATTTGTGAACACCCATTCACAAGGACGCTACGAACGTAGCTCCTGGCCTTACTAGGAACAAGGACGCTACTAGGAACAAGTGCCACGCTAGTAGTAACAGGTGCCTTACTAGTAGTAACAAGAAGCTATTAGGAACAAGTGCATCGCTACTAGTAACAAGGACGCTACGAAGGACCTGGAAAACTTGTTTGAAACCTGTTCGGGCCAGGTTGGGTCCATCCAACTGTGACGGCACCACTAGACGCTTGACTTCACATGTGAGAGAAATGCAGCTTGACACGTCGGTCCGAGTGGAGGGCATCGTTTCCTGGGAGCAAGAAGCTATTAGGGTGGAGGCCATCACTCGTGGGTTCTCTTCTTCCGAAGATGCACCTGTTACTACTAGCTTCTTGTTACTACTAGTAAGGCACCTGCTCCTACTAGCGATGCACTTGTTACTACTAGCGTCCTTGTTGCTACTAGTAAGGCACTTGTTACTACTAGCGATGCACCTGTTACTACTAGGGTCCAAGAGGGCGAATCGCACTTCCTAGGCTTCTACGACCTTTGCTGTCCGGACCCGTGTGAAGGCGCGGCACAGAGGGACTTCCAGATGCGCGTATGACTTGTCACGCACAATGTGAACTGTGTGCTACCACAGTGGTTACCACTGGTACTACTTGCACTCCCACCTCACGCCAGTCAGTGGTTGTGGACCTTATCAAGACTTGAAGCAAGTCTTCTGTCAGGAAGTGAAGCGCAGCTTGCTGTTTTTGATCGTTGCCCTTTGTGACTCGAAGGCCAGCGTGCCTTCTTTGAGGAAGCCGTGATGGATGGCCAACCTGCAGTGGCCATCGAGCAGATTGCACGAGAGCAAGGCTTGGGGGCATCGATGACGTGTTCTGGCGCCAAGAAAGCATTGTGGCAAGGAGTAGTGAAATGTGAAATGTAAAGTTCACCCAAAGGCTTCTACAAAAAGGGCTCGTACCATGCCCTAATGGCTGCCGCAAGATATCGCAGACGCAATATGTCGTAAAGTGAATGCAGCATTGTTTGGCAATTGAGGGCTCACGTAGGCCCACCCAAGTGGGAATCAAGCTCAACATGGGAGGTTCCGCCGGTTGCGGGCGGTTCCTGAAGCAAGCTTGTAGACTTAAATGTTGGGTCTATTAGCTTCTAGCTACTAGCAGCGATGGCCTCCAACCTGATAGCGATGGCCTCCAACCTTGTTCCGTTCAGTACAAATCTGAATCCTTTAGGCGCCTCCTCCCGTATGTTGCCAAAGCTTCATCAGCTGCTGGAAAGACAGGCTCCACCGCCTGAACGCGTTGACGGACTCATTTATGTAGTGTTTCAATATGTTTCAAAATAGCTTCTTGTTACTAGTAGTAAGGCACTTGTTCCTAGTAGCTTATTGTTTCTAATAGCTCATTGTCTGGAACTAATAACATCATACCAGACCACAAATGAGACTTAAGAAAGAAAAGACATCAACAAAAAGAGGATGAGGCACCTTTAATGAGGCCTTACCTTCCTAAACTTCATCTTGTTTTTCTTCTCAAGTCTGATATATCTATGTTCTGACAACATTTGAAGACAAGATAATAAGACTTGACATTCTCAGACTTACATTGACTTGAGTTAGAGTGACAGGCAGCACTTCATGGCCACGATTTCTCCATGCTCCAGCCTCGACAGTCTAGTTCCAAAAAGCAACAGAGAGATATGGTTCAATGAAGGTGTAGTTCTGACGAAAGGGCTACATTTCTTCAGAGTTGCAGGTCTTTTTCCCACTTGTGAAGTCTCCATTTCTTACAATTCTAAATAATTTCTTATTGTTACTAGTAGTAAGGCACTTGTTTCTAATAGCGAACTTTGTTACTACTAGTAAGGCACATGTTACTACTAGTAAGGCAATTGTTCCTAGTAGCGGAATCGCGCTTTACGCGCGGAATCGCCTGAGGTGGTTCCATGAGGCCTTCCCGGACCGCTGCCCACGCCCCCTGAAGGGTGATGCGGTGCCCGACGCCAAGGCAGAGTTCCAGGCAACGGCGCAGGTGGGGAATCAAACGGAAAGTGGAGCTAAGAGCGATGGCCTCCAACCTGAGCACGGTGGACAACGTTATTTTTCTCTTTTCAATATGTTCAATCGTGCAGGAAATTGGAAGCAAGAGCAAAGTCAGTGAACAAGAACGCATATGGTTGTGCAATATTCAAGCTTTTGCGAGGCTATCAGGATGAGCTCACCACCTTGTACCAATTCTCTACCAAACTCTCAAGAACCTCCCAAAAACAACATTTTAAACTGCTATATATATACATATAATGTGCATGCCCACCAGCTTCTCCAGCTTCTTCCTTCTCTTAGAGGTTGCAAGAAGGATAATAGATTCACAAGCAAAACTATTTTGTCAGCCAGCTTTGTGAGCTTCTGTGGGAGATCGAAGTTGCCAAGTGGCAAAGAATCATCTTCCTTTTCTCAATGTCTTTCCTTCTGAATGCTTTCTCCAGAGCCAAGCATGCTGATCCCTGACAGGTCGAGTCTTTATTTGAATGGTGAGCGGCAGAATTCTTTAAGCTTCTCCGACACTGAGAGCCAATGTCCATCACCTGGAGATTGCAGTGATCGGGTAGATACATACAGACCTTCATTGATTCCAATCAGATCTTATTTACTTTGAGAGCAAAGGTTTGCGCTGTTGCTGACTTGAGCGCAAATCGTGCTTGTTCTCGGAAGTGGGCCCATTGGCCAAAAGAGAATCAAAAGATATGCAAGTTTATACAGTCTGTGCCAATATGTGATGGGCTTGTGATGAGACAAGATCAACCATTCTGAGCAAGAGACAGAAGTAACAAGAAGCTACTAGTAACAGGTGCATCGCTACTAGTAACAGGTGCCTCGCTAGTAGTAACAAGAAGGTTTTATTTAATTTAATTCAGACAGATGAGCACCGCGATACACCTTGTGCAGTTTGGGCCTGGCGTTGCCGATGCCACGAAGGAACGGGAAGAAGGCTTCCTGGGCAACAGGTAGTGCTTCAACCACTGTTCCTAGTAGCGTCCTTTGCTCCTGGTAGTAAGGCCAGGAGCCCCTAGTAGCTTCTTGTTACTACTA